AGAGTCAAAGGAAACATTTTGAAATATGCTAGAGCACCCTGCTCTTAATGTTTGCCCTCAGGAGAAGCTGGTTAACAGAGCCCAACCTGCTGGGGTATTTGAGAGTTTACTGATCTGGGGGTAGGGAAATACTCACTCCAGGCTACCTGCTCCACCTAAGGGGAGAGAAAAATCTGAAACACTTGTGTGTTCAACGTCTAGAGGCACAGGTTCACTAACAGAGTAAGACCTATCTTAGACTATCAAATGCTTTCCCTTCTTCCCGCACCTTACCACCACCTTACTAAAGGCCTCTTTACAACAGTTCCTTTAGGCCGGGTACATCATGCCTAGGTAATGAGGAAAAAATTGTAAGGCATACTAAAAAACAGGCAAAATAACACAATTGGAAGAGATAGTGAAAATGTCAGAACCAGACATGGCAGGGCTGTTGGAACTCTCAGGCCAGGAATTCAAAACAACCTTGATGACTATGCCAGGGGCTCTGCTGGATAAAGAAGACAGCATGCAAGAACAGATGGAAAATGTAAGCAAAGATGAAAATCCTAAAAAGAAATGCCAGAGACCACAAACACTGTAACAGAAATGAGGGATGCCTTTGATGGCCTTATTAATCGACTAGACATGGCTGAGGAAAGACTCTCTAAGCTTGAGCGTATATCAATGGAACCTCCCCCCGCCCACTGAAAAGCAAAGATAATGAAAGCTGAAAAAGCAAAACAAACAAACAAAAAAACTCAGAAGAAAGTAGCCAAGGACTGTGGGACAACTATAAAAGGTATAATATAAGTATGTGGCAATACCACAGGAGAAGAGAGAGAAAGGAAATGAGAAGTATGACAGTGAGGGGAAGGAAATAAGGATTATGGCCTTGTTTTGGCCTCTGATGCCTGAGAGGTGGCATTAAGTCAGAATTTTAACCAGGATGTAGTTGTTTTCAAATCAGTGTCTTTCCTTCTCTTTCACCCTATCTCAACTATGACCTGATCATGTTGTTCTGTATCTAAAGATGTAGTCAGGAGACCCCATGACATCTTATGTGAGTTATGTGTATACGTGCGCATATTCATCTTTTCAGGATAGAAGAAAAATGACCTGGACATGATTCTCAAAGTTTAAAAGCCACTGAGCTAAGACTTTTGGCTTAGTAACTTGAGAGCTGGTGTTCATTCAGTTCTGCTCTGAGAGATCAGACGCCCGTTCAGGAGTATGTGTTAGAAGCATACTGCTTTAGGGATCGCAGTGGGGTGGACAGTCTGAAGGGAATCTGCAGGGCAGCATTTCTGGTAATGGCAGACATTTGGAAAAGAATTTTCTTTTCATGGAGAGAAGAAAAATAAGTAAACTGTTTTGTATCATATAATGGTATGCTATACAACAGTGACAATGAACTCTAGCTATGCACAACATGTATAAACATCAATACAATGAACCTCAAAAACAATGTGATATGACAACTGAAGAATACACCCACTATGATGATGATTTTATGAAGTCTAAGTACTTAGTACGTTTTAGGAGTATATATATATATATATATATGTATATATATATATATATGAAAATATTAAAATACATGAAATATAGAATAAATATAATATTTATGTTTTTATAATATTTATAAAATGTAAGCCAGGGAAATTCTTATATTTGAAATATAATGTGAAATTTAAAAATGTGGGGGAGGGTGAAAGACTATGAACACAGTGAACTTCAAGGTTACCAATGATTTGCTGAGCGGAGGGCACATGGGTGTTTATCTTGGCATTCTTTTTATTTTACATACATTAGTTATCTTCTTTTCATATATAAAAATGTCATAAGTTTGAAACATACTTGTCTGCATTTCTTCCTGATTCATTTATTTCCATTATAATAATGTTTTGATGAATGAAACTACATATTTATGAAAGAAGTAATGACATTGACATAAAAGGAATCACATTTTACCTTTAGCTATTCTAATTTATTTATTGTTTGAAGTAATGTGGGTTTTTTACAGTGTGTTATTCTCAGAGACAGAGATTAGTTTGCAAAAATGCTCATGGGCTCTGAAAAATCAGTATGCAAAACACTAATTAATTACTAATGCTTATAAGTGTCCCCTCAAACAACATATATTAATGGGGTTATATTATGCATGTTTTTAATCTTTTGAATCTTGTTCAGGGAGCATTTAATTTTACAAAATACATGTACAATTGTTTCAGTTTCTTTACTTTTGTTTCTGTTAATGCTATAAGGAGAATCCAGAAGAATGCCAATTATGATGATGTCACTTGAGAGACATTTGTAGTGGTATAGTCTTTTTAAAATAGACATCAATAGTCAATTCAGTGTGGCGTTCTGAACTAGTAGCAAGAATCAGGTCTGTTTATGTGGAATCCATACCACTGTCAAATATCGCAGTTAATTCACTTATCCCTTCCTGTTGTGGAATGGCTTTGGGACTTCAGGTGCAAACCTTACACGGGTGAGTTCTTGCCAAAGCAGAGGCTGGCCTTATAAGAGCCCCATTTCCATCTGTGAGGCGAGCTCAGAGGGTTTTGACTTTTATTTACTCTGGCAGAATCCATCTCCAAATTCCTTACACTACAATTCTAGGTGTTTATTTTGCTTAAGTGCATTTCCTTTTGTTAACGTTTGAAATAAGGAAAGGAGAATGTGCATTATAAAGTTGATAAGAGAAAGAGAATAAAATGAGTTTTGATATCTGACAGTGTTCACATTATAGATGACTGCAGTGAAATTTAATAAGCCATTTTAATTTAAATACACTTTAATATAAATATAATAATTTAATTGAAACACTTATCTATCATAGGTTCACTATTTGACAAATTTCTAATGTCTTTTATTTATGTTTCTTGACCTATAATGGCTGTTGGTAGTTTGCAGGCTTAATATATGACATTCTTAAACATGCTGAAGTTCTTATCAATAATCTATTCTTGCAAAGAATTTGCTTTATTACAAATTGTTTCTGTTTTTGTATGAAAGTTAGTGTTTAATGCGACAAATATCTTCCCTTCTTCTCCTAACTACAGATAATCTCATTTAAGTGTGTGGAATAAAAAATTTGTCTGTCATATGACCTTCCCAAAACTTCGCCAGATATTAAAGCACGTTGGATTTTCTTTCCCTCATGTTCCTCTAGGACAGTTTCCCAGCCCGATTCGGAGGAATTCATTTTGTCAACCAGCCGTGGTATATCCATGCCCTGTATACGGTAATCCGGCCTTTCCTAAAGGAGAAGACGCGGAAAAGGGTATTGTTTCTGTCTTTATATCATTTCACCTGCTCCATTCAATGAGTTATGTTGCACACGGTGTACATAATAGTATTGTAAATGTGCTTGTATATTGCCTATAACTTCAATATATAAGACATTTTATAATTCTCAAAGTCATGTGATTAATTCTGAACAGTTATCTGTGAGAGAAATATTTCAAACCAGCTCTCCTATTTTTCCACAAATTTGGAGAGCATTTAGCACATTCATTATATATTAATGCCTCAGTTTAAAAGTAAAGAAAAAAAAGCCGTGTTACTATATAGTTATTGGTATAGTTAATATCAAGTAGGCCTAGACAAAAGCTATAATTTTAAAAATTGATAAGTGGAGTTAGTTATTTCACAATATATATATTGCATTGCATGTAGTGAATTTTGTGGTAGTTAATATGATTTTGCGGGAACTGTCATGATCAATCACATACTTCAGAAAGACTATTTCTACAAATTTCTAATTTGTAGAGCTATTAATATCCCTTTAAATTACAAGCTGAGTTCTTAGATTTGGTTTCATCTAATAATGAGGATATTGAAAGTACATACAACAAAATTATTTTTCATAGAATGAGATAATTTATAGAAAGCATTTAGCACAGTGCATGGCACATGGTAAATGCTGAACACATTTTATTATCCTATATAATAAAAGGCTAATATGCAAATTGTCCCCTAAACCAGGAGTTTGACCAGGGGACGGGGCTGGCCAACTGCCCGCGGCCCCTCCCCGAGCCGGCCCTGCACCCAATCCCCCCGGGCATGAATTCATGCACTGGGCCTCTAGTCTTCTATACATATAAAAGCCCAGTGACCCAAAAGTGGAATGACCAGAACGACCAGTCGACCAGTCGCTATGATGCACTCTGACCACCAGTGGGCAGGCGCTCAATGCAGGAGCTGCCCCCCGGTGGTCAGTGCACTCTTACAGTGGGGGCGCCACTTGGCTGACCAGGATGAGTGGCACTCCCACAGAGGGCTGATACCCACAGGCCACGCCCCCCACCAGTGCACAAATTCATGTACTGGGCCTCTAATTAATTAATAATATTGATTTTAAAAATGCATTTTAATGGACATTATTTTATTTTATCCTCCAAACATCTCTGAAAGTAAGCTTAGTAAGCATTATGTCCTATTTCAGAGCAGAGGAAAGATGGATAAGTAACTAGCTTAGTCATTTATACAGCTGTGAAGTGGTACAGCAATATTTGAATCAAAATAGCTCCATAGTTGGAGCTATTTTTACCATTGTGCTGTGACCAACTTTCAGATGATTAGTTCCATAATAAAATATAGCTCTAAATCCACAGGGAAGATAATTTTCCATGTTCCTCAGTGAACGAAAAGGCACTTCAGTGACTTCAGTGTCAGAGGAGTGGGAATGAGAAAAAATTGTTAAACATATGTTTGGATCAAACATCAGTGATAGAGTATTTTCTGTTTATGAATTTGCTGAAAATATCTCAGTAGTTTAGGAGGAGGAATTCAGTAAACAATTATAATGGATATTGGGAATTGTTTCTACCACTGAGTCTCAGATTAATTTACAGTTTAGAATTTAGAAAAATGGAGTGATGGGTCTCACAAATAACACTTGCAAATGTTATGAAAGGATAATCAGGTGATCCCAAACACCTGCTGGGGCTTTCAGTGCAAATGATACTAGTGAAGGCTTTTGTGGCAGTCACTCTGCCACAGGTTGCTCTAACTTCCTTACATAAGTTAACTCATTTAATTCTCAAAGCAAGGCTTATTGTTTTCTCTTTTTATAGAGAAAAAAACTAGGCTAGATGGGTAAGCAAGTTGCTCTAAATCACTGCTAGGATGTAGTAGAGTTGAGTATGTGGGTTTGCCCAGAATGCTGTTCCAGGTAGAGGGAATAGCGAATACAAAGGTCCTTAGGCAGAGATACTCCTGGTGAATGTAACAGACAGTGAGGAGACCAGGAGGGCTGGAGCATGATGAGCTATTTTGGGAGGAAAGGGAAGCGGAGGACTGGGTAGGAGGGATGATGGTGTGCTGGGTCATATCGGGCCTTGGACACTGCTACAAGGATCCAGACTTTCAGTCAGCGTGAAATGAGAAGGATTTGGAAGACTTTGAGTATAGGGGTGGTTGTTCTGATATGATCTTAACATGACTCTGTTCTGTTGAAAAGGACTGAAGAGGATCATGTCTAGAAAACCAAAAAAGCTTCAGGTTTTGAGGTTATTAGATTGAATCTGACAATTCCAACAATGCCTGTACAGATGCATTTCTAGCATTATTCCACATGGAAGTGAAATTTCTGAACTTCAGCATTTTAATGAAAACTGTCCATGACTTAGAATTTTTCATATGAGAAAATGATTATAGGTTAAAGCACCTTTGATTTTTATTTGTGTCATCAATGTACAAATGCAAAATGATTATAATTCCTTGCTAGTGCTCCAACTAATGCAATATCACAATATTACTGAAACACCTTATACTTCAGATGCCCCCCCACCAGTGCACAAATGCCTGGTTCTTCATTTTCTTAAATTAAATTAAGTGACTTTGAGTCTCCAACATACTCTATTGATGATGGGAAGGAATAACCACCCACCTGAGGTGTTATACGGGGTTCCTTTTCAAACTCTCAGCAATACCAGGAATGTTTCATGCAGAACCAAACTTCTTAGCTGTCATGAGAACTTCGGACATGTTCATTGTCTGAGCCAGTATTAGTTTCTTGAATGAAGGCCTCCTTCTGCTTTCAAGATGCTCCCGGAAAAAAGAGCATCTTTGCTGGAGCTGGCAGCCAATGGCTAGGCTTCAACCCACTACCTGAGTGCACTCTTCAGCTAGTCCATGGCTGTGGTCTTGCCCCTTCCCAAGAGCTGACAGCAGACAGGTTTTACTTCTAGTTCTGACAAGTATATGGTGGACTCACTCTTCTCTTCCTTGTTAAATTTCAAAAGTATTCTATGCTCCTTTCGGCTTCAGTCACCTAGCACATTTTCTTTAATGCCACAGGTTAAGAAAATAAAATAAAAGTTGGATTTAACATATGGACTTTCCGTGTGTGGACAATATTTAAAGCCATTAGAGTGAATAAAATCACCAAGGAGTGAGTCTAGTTAGAGAAGAGAATAAATTCAAGAATGGAACCGTGGGGCTCTCTGGCATTAAGATGTTGGGGTAATTGAGGAAGAATCAGCAGAAGAGACTGAAAAGAACATCGATCGATGTAGGAGAAAATCAAAAGATCCTGAGTACAAATGTGTTCATGAGGATCGTCATCTACTATACCCAGTGCTGAGAGTTCAAGGAAAATAAGGCCTGAGAATTAGACAATGAATTTCGCAGTGAAAAGAATCTTGACAAGAGCAATTGACTGTGTTGGAAGGCAAAAATCTATTTTCATTGGATTCAGGGAAAATGAGAGAATATTTGAACAATAAATATAGACAATTTTTTTTTATGTTTTGCAATAAACGAAGGAGAGAAATAGGATAATAACTGGAGGCTGAAGTCGGTCCAAGAGAGGTTTTATGTATCTGTATAGATAGGGGAATAGAAGAGTTGGCATGCTTGTTCTCTGATGGGAAAGAGCCAGTAGAATGAGGAAATTTGATGATGCGAGAGAGACAGAATTGCTTAGGAAGTAAAATTGAGTAGAAGAGAAAGGATGAATTCTAGTACACAGGTGGAGAGGTTGGCCTTTGTAGTTTATCCTTCATTGTACTAGGAACAACGGCAAAGCATATGGGCACAGATGCTGGTGGGTGGGTATCATCTGGTTGCCCTATTTTTTTTCAGTGAAAGAGGAAACAAGGCCAAAGCCGAAAGTGGTGTTGAGAGAGGAGGTAACAGAGTGTTAGTGAAAAGGGAGGAGTAGTGTGCTGGATTACGTTGATTTCCCCAAGGACTTCTTACCATACGTCTTGCATGACTTGAAAGAGAAGGTTTCTTACATGAAGTAATGCATCTGATAAACTAAAGGTTATATACCTAATAAAATAAGGGTTTCAGATGCTGGAGCTTAACTTTCCAAGGAAAAATTCCTTCAATTTCCTATGAGAAGAACCTAGCAGTGTGTGTGTGTGTGTGTGTGTGTGTGTGTGTGTGTGTTTCCTGGGCTGTTGTGCTCTGCAAATAGGAGTGGGAAAGTATAAAGTTTGCAATTACTTTGATGCACTTTGGGACAGATGACATCTTCCACCTCTGTAGGTCCCGCCTCACATATTCCAGGCAGCTGTTTTTTCTGCCTATTTTGGCCAGTGACTTGCACTCATCTGCTTTCACTATTGAAATCACTTGTTGATTGGTGACACCCATCCTTTTATTTTAGTTGATATTATAGACTAGTCTTTCTTTGTTTTCCTACACATTAGCTTCAATAGATTCTAAAAGTATGAAAAACAAAGACAAATGTGTTAGCCTATTCATTTTGAACCTGAAGTATGAAATCATTTCTGTCATTTATAAATTAGACTTCTTAAATAAATATTATATAACTTTATACGAGATGACAATGCTTTATCTGAGAAGACTGATTTGCAGTTTTGAGATTGGAATGAAAGAAAAGAGGTAGCAATTTATGGGGAAACAGATCTTGAGTCTGTAGCTTGAATAATTTTTTAGTTTAACAAAAAAAGCTCTATGTAGACAGTATTATCCATAATTAATATATGCATACAGCTTTACATTTTGAATCCATTACTTCATTTTCTATTTGAACAGTAAACATGGAAATCTTGAGTAGAGAAGATGGTGAAAACGCTATAGAACATAAGTCCTGTGGGACATGAACCTTCGCTTAACCTTTCATTATGATGGTGCTAATCTACTTTTATTTACATCACACACTTTGCATTACAAAGTGGTAATTTAGTGGTTACAGTGTTCTCATTTTACGGATGATAAAGAGAAGGCCATACCAGTGATAGCTTTGGGGCTCAGTAACTTGGATGGGCTTTGCAGTAGATGAGTCCCTTCTGAGAAGAATCTGTTTTAATAGCATTCATTATGCACATCATCAGCTTTGCACAACTAACATCAGAATGATGTACAGATCAACATGCACATTAGATTCTTCTGATGAACCTGGCTATGAAGCAGAAAACCAAATTCTGGTTCCAGCTCCCAATAACTAGCAGACCTTCTAGAAGCTACTTAAAGTTCCCTAACCTCAGAATTTTTATATGAAATACGAGGATGACAGAATCAGCCTGCCTGTTTCACAGAGTGGGTAAGGGGCTTAAATATTTTAATGGGCATAGAAAACTCTTGCTTCTGCTCTTGCTATTGGTACTCCCTCCCCACAGCAAGTGGGTAATACTGATTCTCCTCTGTGTGTTTTCCCCACCTCTCTTCTTGTATTTGTAGATATTTTTGCATGGTAACAACCTAAATAGTCTACACCAACTAATTCATCCTGAGATCCTGCCCTCTGAGTTTGGAGGAATGCTGCCCCCTTATGACATGGGAACCTGGGCAAGAACACTGCTCGACCACGAGTATGACGATGACAGTGAATATAACGTGGATTCCTACAGCATGCCTGTGAAAGAAGTAGAAAAGGAGCTCTCCCCCAAGTCCATGAAGAGGTATGCGGGAGGTACCTGGGAAGTTGGCTAGGGTCAGGGCAGAGGCAGCCCAGGTCTAACTCCAGGTTGTATATTTTTGAAGGCAATATTCGGTGAGATTTTAAAGCATTTTATGTCCCCATGATTGGATGTCTAGGAATTTTGAGTCAAAGATAGTCGTTTGAGCTAACCTGAACCCAGTGTTGCTGAAGATTCACAGATAGTCTAGCAGGGCCCTAAGAAGTCACCAAATCCAGTGATTTTTCAAATTACACTTCAGGGTTCTGGTTGGGTTTCTCAGGCCAGGCAGGTGGGGCGGGGATGGTGCCCATCTCCACTGCAATGAAAATGACTCCTTCTTTCTAAGCAGTTTATTAGACTTCTGTGTAAGATTTCATTTGAAGAAAGGGATCCATAGCAAACACTCACACATGCACCCCCTTCAAACACTAATATTCAAAGCTATGTTCTCTTTACAATATTTTTGTCAGGTTTCTGTTCAAAGGTCTAGCCATTCCTGGGGCAAAACATTCTACTTCCTTACAGCTTTAATCTTTATAAAATTCACTGTTGAGTCAGACTCCCTGCTTTGACTCTCACAGTATTCCCATGACTATTTTCTTTCAATCAATACATATTTATTGAACACATGATCTGTAATAGGCATGTTCCTAGGTGTTTTGGATCCAATGTGGATAAAATGTACATCCAGCAATGGAGGGAGGAGGAGTTGCCAGACATGCGCAGATGTATAACTGAGTTTGCATTCTGTAGCACATAGAAGGTATCTAATTCCCACACCAGCCCAGGGTTCATGTGAAAAATGTAACAAGTATTATTGATTATTGGTTCATTTCCCATCATAGAAAAAAAGGAACCACAGCTCTTGCAAGTCTCTCCTCACCTAACTCAGGCAGGACCCAAGAGCATCTTCCATGTCATCCCAAACACTGTCTTGCATCCTTCCCTGATGAAAGCCTTATGGTCCTTCTGTCATTGCTCTGACTCATGCAGTGACATTTCTGTTCTCTGAGCTGGTCTCTTTTTTTGCTGTTACTACTGTAGGTGTGTGTGTGTGTGTGTGTGCGTGCGTGCGTGCGTGCGTGCGTGTGTGTGTGTGTGTGTGTGTGTGATGTCTTCCTCTCCCTAGGCTGCTCTACCTCTGCTTGGAGAGAATGAAAAGGCCAATGACACCTCCTGCTTTAATTTCTCCACTAAGCATAAAGCTTATGTTTAAACCAAGTGTAGGCTTCTCAACTCCCTTTTCTCAAAACAGGACTTCTTAATTTGAGTTCTATGTGCTCCTAACCAATGGCGTTCACAGATGGGCTCTTGAAGGGGTTTATTAAGTACTAAAAGTTGTCTTCAAAGCTGTGTATGAAAAGGTTTGAATATATATATAGTACATTTTAAGGTATATATTTCATCAAATTCTCCAAAAAGCTTTCTAAAATAAAAATATTTAAAAGCCATTGCCTCAAAATGTCTGGTTTCTTCTTAAAAGATAATCTTTTTTCAATATACATTTTTATTAATTTCAGAGAGAAAGGGAGAGAGAGAAACATCAGTGACAAGGGAGAATCACTGATTGACTGCCTCCTACTCGCCCCCTACTGGGGATCGAGCCCACAACCTGGACATGTGCCCTGACCGGAAATCAAATAACGACCGCTTGGTTCATAGGTCGACACTCAACCACCGAGCCACGCTGGCCGGGCTAAAATAATAATCTTAATACTAGTTGTTGCAATCTACTGTTCACTATATACTTCTCATGAATTAGGCCCTTACTAGGTGCCTTTTTTTTTTTTGTAACATTCGTTTGATCCTCACTGCAACCCTGTCAAACACATATTGTAATTGTATCTCCAAAGTTACATAGTCTATATGCAGTGAAACAGGGTTTCCAATTCATGAGATGTAAAGTCTTCTATGTTGTTGACATGAACTTTGCCTTCCCTCCCATGACAGCATGACACAGAGAACCCTCACTGCAGAACTGAGCTATATAAAGATTCGAAGACAACTGACGTAGGTCATTTCTTTGGCCAACTAGCAATGCTCATTTCTTTAAGCTTTTCCTTCCATGACTTAAAGAAATATTAACTAAGGTAATCCTCTCCTCTGAGCACATTTCTCTCGATAACATCCAAGACCTTAGCTGTACTCTGCTCAAAATCAGAGCATTTCACTTCTCTGCTTTAACTCTTTAATGTCCGCTGATTATACAGTGTAAAATCAACTCCATATTGGGGCTGACATGGTGCTACATGATCTGATCCTGCCTACCTCTCTTTTCTGTTTGTTTACCTTTTCTTTCCTCTCCTACCTTTCAGACACAACGTCCTTTTTATCCTCCTTCAGCCTCTGCCTCTTGTTCCTGTCGAAGGGTCTTTATACTTGTCACCTCTGGTTGGAATGCTCTTTTCCTACATTGTCCAATGGCTGGCCCACAAAGGTCGTTTGCTGAAGAGGTCTTTTGATCTTCCTCAATCACCAGGTCCTAATCAGTTCTTCTTCCTCATTCTAGTCACCTTCTTTATTATTTTTTTCCATAGCATTTACCAGTCCGTGAAGTGCCTTATTTTATTTAATTTTATACCCAACCCCCCAGTGTAAGCTTCATGGAGACTTCAGTGTTTTTGTCTACCCTGTTCTCTTCTGCATCCCCAGTACCTGGAGTAGGGCCTGGCACACAGGGTGCTCACTAGGTACAGGCTGATAAATGAAGGATTCCTCTACTGTCTGTCAGTGGCCCCTTTTTAAGTGCCATGTTGAGAACTGAACAGGTAGCATCTGACACTGTTACTACTTGCACTGAGGTTTCAGAATTCTGGCTTTACAGTGTGGACTTCGTTGGCCTTTGTTTCTGTTGTTGTTTTGTTCAGGAAGCCAGAGCACATTGCTGACTCGTATTGTACTGCCTAAAACTAGTAAGTCTCTTTCCAAATTCTCATAATTCTCTATTTCTAAGTATAGCTTTTTCCTCCAAGCACATTACTTTAATCGATTATACCATCTTGTTAGATTTGGCCCAGTCTATCCAACCTTTTGAAGTCTTTATGGATCCTGATTTTTTTTCTCCAATTAATTAGGCTATTTTGTTCCCTGCACACTTGGCTCATAGCACATCGACCTCCCAGCCCTGGAGTTTCTTGCTTCTGATGTGGGCTGCTTATGTTTTTTAGACATTCTTTGTTTGGTATAGGCTTTGTATCATAGGAAGCTCTTATTGTTCTGTTGGAAAACTTCTGAAAGAATGAGATTAAGAAAGTTATTTTACTTGACTCTCATCTTCTCCATCTCAAGAAATGGCAGTTCCCCACTTCTCTATTTTCTTTTTCAGATTTATGTCATACTCAAAGAGTTGTAGATAATTCTTCCGTGGGGTGAATTTAGCTAGGTGTGTAGGAAGAAGACTTGTCCCCCTGTGTAAAATTGTGGAGGAATAGTATAGTCACGTGAAAAGACACAAAGTTCAGTAGATTGTGGGTGCCTTAAACTGGGCAAGTGTATTTGACCTCATATCTCTAATACCTAGGACAGTGCCTGGCACATAACAATTTCAGTGAGCAACAATACTGTTATGCAAATATGACTTTCAGTTTTATTGAATATTTAATATCTATTGCTATTACATGCCAAAACCTAACTAATGCTTTTTAAAATATATATTGACTCCTTTGCTTCTCTAAACAACTAGGTAGTAGTAGTCCAAACTTATTAATGAGGAGACCCAATACAGAGAAGGTAAGTAACTTCCCCATGTCACACAGCTACAAAGTAGTGATGCTAATATGGGAACACAGGCAATAGTATTCCACATGTCATTTCCTTGACTGCTACCATGTGCTGTCTGCCAGTATTTGTGCTGGGGTTTACGCATAAATTATTGCATCTGATCCTTAATATATCTGTATGATATAAGTGCTATGTCCCCTATTTTATAGATAAGAGAACAAACTTTTAGGAAGTTTAAGTAGCTTTCCACAGTCACAGAGACAGCAAATAGCAGAACTGGAATCCCTTCTGTTCAAAATCTAGCCTCTTAAACACTAAGGTATAGTATAATATTGCTATAGTAGATGCATAATAAATGAATGAGCGATACCTGGATAATTAAATTTAAATTATTTGTTTTAGTAAAAAATAAAAGTTATGGCAAAGACAGTAGAGGCTGTGTTGAGACTGTTGAGATGTCCTATGACTTCAGGATGGACAACACCCTCTATTGCAGCTGAGAAGCCAGGATTAATCCCAGATGGTATGGACCACTAAAATTTCAAATGTTATTAAAGTCATCATATCCTCTAATATTTTAAAAAAAATAGGCAAGGACCATAAAGATTTAAAAGATTGTGTGTGTGTGTGTGTGATGTGTGTTTTCACAAAACATTTTGGCAAATGCTTAAGTTGTGTCCTTTGCATTGTCTGAAGAGCTTTGGTGTGTACTCCTTAATGTTATTAGCTAGATCTCAACATTTAAACAATAGACTTCACTTTATGAGAATTTAAAAATACATTTTCTGTTAAGAATTTCTCCACAGGATAAATTGCTATTCATTTTGAATGCTTAATACTGAATTTTTTCAGTATGGAAACTATTTATTGAGTAGAAGTTAAAACCTTGAGATCCTACTGTGTAACAGCCTGTGGAACACATTGTGTTTGCATCAGGAGAGACACTGATAGGTCCCTGCTCATGGAATATATGGTGCAGTGGGTACCGGTATCAAGCTAATACTTTAGTGCAGTAATCTTGGGAAACCAATTTTTTAGTTGTCTAAGAAAAACAGTGTTAAAGGTCTGATTGCTAAATATTAAAATGTATTTCATTGTACTTTTTTCCAAGATAAATTATTATTGTTACCCTCCCTCCCTCTGGGCCCCCCTCTATCCTGCTCTCCCCATAGACACACATTCAACTTCGGCCAGTTTCCTTTCTGACCTAGGCATCTAATGCCTAGCGTTGAGGTAAAACGGTAATAATGAATTATGAACTAAAACCTCCCTGTGTTAGCATTCCCACCTTCCTTTCATTCTCTCTTTAGAAAGGAATTTAAGTTTATTTAAGTGAAGGACTGACTTTATCAGTTAATCCTGCAATTATTTTTGCTTTGATAATTAGTTCCATTGCTTTTCTTTTTCATTAGCATGTGCAGTTGTAGTTTAGCTTATAGTCATTCTGTTTGAAAGTTAATGAGGTCTGTTAAGAGGCATGGCGATAGCCAATTGGCTGGAATGCAGGCAGCAGCAGGGGGAAAATTCATTACCGCGGAGAATTGTAAAAGGGCAGCTGCTTCCTTAATGCTGGAGCTATTACGATGGCAGCTTCCTGCCCCAACAGTAGCATGTCTCATTAACTCTCCTCCTTGCCCGTTTTATGTTGTTTCCTAATATATAATTCCCACCTGCTATCAAAGGCCTGTGGAAGGGGTTTTCAAAGTATTTGCTTTGCTAGCCATAAAGAGCTGCTGCCGAGACAAGAGGGGTTTTAACTTAAGTTAAAAAAATTTTTTAAGTGCTTTATGTACTATATAAGCAAGTTAGACACTTGTATAACTTACCAAGCAATCCCCCGATAAGTGTTGCACCCACCTGACACCACATATATTGACTATATATTGACTTATTGACTATATATTGCCTATTGTTGACTATATATTGACTATTATTGACTATATATTGCCTATTGTTGACTATATATTGCCTATTGTTGACCATATTTTCAATGCTGTACTTTACATCCTGTGACCCTGTTCTAACTGCCAGTTTGTACTTCCTAATCCCTTTGTCATTTTCACCAAGCCTCTGGGGTTTTAACTTTTCAAAAGTCTTAAAACATTTCACAAAATTTCAAGAATAAGATTGATTTTATTCAAACAGTCCAGTGGGAAACGGAACAAAACTCACATTCAAATTTTGACTTTTTTTCCTAATGTGATCATGAAAAATAAAATGTGTTGGTTCAAACATGCACATTTAGGTTGAATGTGTTTCGAAGAACTCTTTAAGACAGGACTCAAGGCTCCTATCATTTTTAGTTTAGGTCCCATAACAATAATTTTACTGTAATAATTTCCCATTTGGAATACTAGTACATCTGTCTTACAGTAGAAAGTCCCAGTCTCAAAGAACTTAACCTTATTGCTCGGCCAGCCAGTGTGGCTCAGAGGTTGAGCATTGACCTATGAACCAGGAGGTCACAGTTTGATTCCTGGTCAGGGCACATGCCTGGGTTGCGGGCTCAATCCCTAGTGGGGAGAATACAGGAGGCAGCTGAATAATAATTCTGTTTTATCATTGATATTTCTCTCTCTCTCTCTCTCTCTCTCTCTCTCTCTGTCTCTCTCTCTTCCTCTCCCTTCCTCTCTGAAATCAATAAAAATATTTATGTTTTAAATGAACTTAAACCTATTATTGTGTATTTAGGATCTTTGCTGTTGAATATTCCATTTAGAGACCAGAGGGGATTGTTTCCTCGGAAGCAAAAACCCACAGAAACTGTCTCTCTCTCTGCATGTGCAGCATTCTCAGCTTATAAATCCCTTGATGAAAAGGGAGATAGTCCTATTCAGTGAGAGCAGCAATCATGGAGAAAGGACAGACAAGAGAATGTGATTATTTGGTGATAGCTCACTAACATTGGCTTTATCATTTCCAGATCCCAATCAGTAGTGGATCCTACAGTCCTAAAACGCATGGATAAAAATGAGGAAGAAAACATGCAACCTTTGCTCTCTCTGGACTGATACCTGCTCTACACTCTCCATGGATTAGAAATGAAAGGTACTTGTTTTCAGCAACAGGGACAGCACTGTGGAGGAATTACCAGCTGGAAACTTATTCTTGTCTATGTAGCATAGTATATAATAAGACATCAGGCTTTCCCCTTTGCCTGAACCATGGGGGCCCTAGTCTGGATTAAAAAGTGAATAATTTATTCTGTAAGTGCCAAGTTCTTTGTAAATACAATGTAATCTTTATGTCAAGTTTGTAAATTTTGGTAATAACTAAAATTGGAAAAGTTTGGCGTATGAGTTCATGCCAGTGATGTGAACTATTACGAAAATAAAAGACAAATACATAATCAAAGCTAATTAAATGAAGCCCTGATTCCTATGAAGCCATATTTCAGCTCTCATCGTGATGCTTCATTGTTTTTATCTGAAACTCTGTCATATTCAAATGTACTTTTAATGGGCACAAGGAACTAGATGACTATAGGAAATTATTATGATAAATGTATTTCCTGTCTAGTGATTTTCAGTTTACAGAAAATGTGTTCTAGTGACTATCACTGGCCTTGCATTTTGGAGACAAGGAATGGAGGATAATCTGGTAAATTGAACACTTAAACTCTTACATATTGTTTAATTCCTGGAGTCTTGTAAAATAATACGTTCCCCAAAGTAAGATGTGGAATTCTGAGAGTGGATCTTTTAAAAAAATGCTGTATTCACAATGTATCCTTTATTCAAGACACACCCCACCCCATTGAATCCCTGCCTGATTTATTTTAAGAACATTTTCCCCTCAAAATTCTTTGACAAAGAGAAAGAGAACTCATACATAGTGTTTTGACTGGTAATTTTGAACATAAAAGTTCCTACATACAGATAAGGGGCTAATTTTCAATTATTTTGCACTGGGTCAAAAATGTATATTCACAAACATATATATATATATATTTTACTGAGCTCTTAATAAATCCTTGATGTGAAAGGCTTATGAAATAAATCATCCATATTCAATGGTCTTAGAGATGGTATAGATATTACATGAGATGCTAACTCTGGAAAACTACTTCTTCTAAAGTTAATGAAAATGAGGTATAGTGAAACAGACTTTTAGTGAACCCATTTAAGGGAATTCTAACTTAATTTATAATGTACTCTTCAATCTGTGCCATTTTAGTGAAATGTATTTTTCAAAACAATAGGTCTCAACTTAGTGTAGGCAGTATCAAGTGATCAACAGTGCTACATACAGATTTTCTCAATTTCAAGTTAATTATCCTAATGATCCTATAAGTACACATTTTCTTTTCAGAAAAGATTGAAAGAACACATTGCATCCAGGAGACATAATGGAAGCATCTGAGGGCATCTGAGATAGCATATTATACTTTAAATATAGATTTGGAATCCTTATGCCACTGAACGTTTTTATTTCATAAAAATTCTGCAATTATAGCACATTTTAAAAATCTTACTTTAAATTTCAAATTCCAGTGTGAAAAAAGCAAAAATTTTACCACCTCTTCAGAGTGGTAATTTTTGAGATTGAGAACTCACCATTAAAATATCCTTTTGAAAGAAAAATATTTCAAGGAACTCTTGGAAACCAACAGAAATAAAGTCGTGTAGCAGCCTTTACATACTTTTTCACTAAAAACTTAAAATTTTTCAGTTATAACTCTACAGCCAATAATCTTAAAATCAAGATCAGTACATCAATCTGCAGTATCACCAGTGGACAGTCTAATATTTGTAAACATACATAAATATACATAAATGAAAGATCCCTTAAAAATGCTAACCTCCAGTCAGGTGTGGAAGGATAATGACTGGTAGGTACTCTGTTCCACCGATAAATAACATAGAGATGGGAATGAATTGGGGATAGAAAGCCGCAGCAACTCTTATCTTTATAAGAACCCTGACCTTGGTGTTCTTACCATTTTCTAATCTGACATACATTTTACAGCCTTGAACTTTATGTACTATACTAGAGGCCCGGTGCACGAAATTCGTACACTTGGGGGGGGGGCGGTTCCCTCAGCCCAGCCCTGACTGATGGCTTTAGCCCTGCGGGAGCAGGCCAAGTCAGTCAGTTGGACATCCTTAGCTGTGGAGGTGAGAGAGGCTCCTGCCACCACCGCTGCACTCGCCAGCCATGAGCCCGGCTTCTGGCTGAGCAGCACTCCCCTTGTGGGAGTGAGTGCACTGACTACCAGGGGCAGCTCCTGCATTGAGTGTCTGCCCCCTGCTAGTCAATTCACATCATAGTGACTAGTGGTTCTGCCATTTGGTTGATTTGCATATTTGCCTTTTATTATATAGGATAAGCAAGTGTTAGGCAACATGATGCATTGGAATAAAGTAGAAACTAAGTACAGAAGGCAGTGAACTTTTCATTCCCATTCATTTCTCTTTTCATTTATTGCCAATTTGCAGAATTCTACCAGCTTCGGGTGTCAATCGGCTTAGCCAGCTTCTTTCCCCATCATTGGACTGGTATCATACGAAAATAAGTCAGAAGGCATATGTTTTACGTATATACCTATCTAATTATAAGTATCATTCACACTGTCTCTCTGCCCTATGTTTGGAAATCTGCAGAGGCAGGGCTGCTCATCTGTTCTTCTTCTAATGAGCAATTGAGGATTCGCTGGATTGTATATTTTTAAATGAATGAACAAAATTACAACAATGATGCCTTTTGAACTAGCTAGATCTAGTTCAGTCTGTAACTCATTTTCCAGGAATGTGTTAGAAGCTGCATAGGTAAGGGATATTTGGCCAACTTTATAAAATTTTCCCTCAGTTTACTAGCATTGTTTAGGATTTTCCCTCTCCTGCCATGTGATTTTCTGTCTTGTAGTTGTGTCTGTTGTTACATAACTTAGCAAAGAAGCAACCCTATATTTCAATTTAATTGTGGTAGTACTATGCTCCCACTCACACACACGCACACACAAACACTAGACTATTTGCCCTAATGAATTTGTCTCTATTTTGAGAGCTATGCTTTTTTTTTCTTTTTTAAGTATCTTCTTCCTAAAAATATGTAGACATCAAAGAATTATCACATTTGATTTGGAATAGGCCAGTTGTTCATTTCTCCTACCCCACCTGCTCTATCTTGTATTCTTGTATATTCTCTCTTATTTTTTTCTCCTGATGTTTCAGGAGCACCTACTTTCAAAGCTCCTTTAAACCCCTTCCCCAACAATTTTTTTGTTAAAAACGTTTCTTTTTCAGACTAATTTTTTTATTTTGGTTCTATATAGTATTTTTGATGCTGGTTATGAAAACAGTTTGTAACTTGTCTTCCTATAAACCATATTTTTTTTACCATATTTTCTTAGTATACTCGTCGACGACTGAAAAAGAACATTTTGTGAAAACGAGTACCGTATTTGCCGGCGTATAAGACGATTTTTTGGCCCTGAAAAATATGCCTCCAAGTGACTATGCTAAAACAATATACAAGTATTAAATAGAGTTTGCAAGCAAGTTTTTGAAGTGGGCATGCACTAGTTCTTCTATTTCAGTCATAGTTTGCATAACTGTAGGCAAAGACATTCCTTAAGTCTTTTCATATAAAGTGCTTGTTTACTTTACAGTACTGAAAATTCATATATTCATAAGAAGGAAAACCAAACATCTAGGTTCTGAATGTTGTAAACTAGGTCACATTGTTAAATTAAACATTTGAAGTATCTGTAATATTCCTGAGGGAACAGAAATGTCTCTCATGCATCAAGAAAATGGAAAATTGTTTCAGACATCTGGGAACATATTTCTCTTCACAAAAAGAAACCCTTAGACTCATGGCAGTGTGACTTCAGGGACAGACTGCATTTTCTTCTAGAAACAACATAAAGGTTTATGGACAAGTCCATGGGCCTTTAGAAAAGTTATATCAGGAAAACCTGCTGAGAGACTACGCACTCTTGTGATGTTTTATCTAAATGTCTAATTGGTCTGGTTAATAATTTATCTCTTTGCTTCTTATTTTGTGTGTATTAATGTAATTACTTGAAAAATTGCCATCATACATGAGGTTACTTTGGAATGATTTTCAACACACAAAATGAGCAGAGCTATGGCATGGTATTTGTACTTTAGGATATGGTATTTATATTTGTTTACATCAATAAGGGAATAGGCATATATTCCATGTTGTATGTACTAAATAGAGATATAGCCTAAAAATGGTGGTGTATTTTAAATTTATGAGACCATTAGACCATGTAAGAATGGCAGGTAATATAAAATATATTGGAACAAAAGTAGACAGTTGAAAAATCTGCTTTCTAATCTGTTATTGAAATGATTCAGCACTACTTGCTTTTTGAAATCAGGCAAATCAGTAAAAATACAAAAGGACGTTTAGCCTTGAAACATTATTATATTATGATCTTAATGACGTAGAAAATATAATTTTCTTTCATGAAATCAAGTTATTTTGTAAACATCCATAGATTAATCCCACACGTGGAGATAATACTATGAAGTGTCTTCTGTGTTCAGTGTAGAAATTTATTCTCCTGGACTGTAGGAAATAATGCAAAATAGCAGTTGTGTGGATTTAAGCACCCAACTTGTGCTATTTTTCATAGAAGGAGGAATGCAAATGGTACTGTTGAAATATAAAAAAATATTTAGGAACCATATAAGTATAGGACTTAAAATGCACTTTCATAGTACATAAAGGACATTTAGAAGGTGTTTGGTCAGTATTTGACTTAGTTTCAATTCAAATATTTTTGTCCTTAATGATTTCAATTCATTTATTCTGTCAAAATTATTTCTTATGGTAAATGAGAGGGACATAGATGACTAGTAAAATAAATTTTAAAACTTTTTTTTTTAATATATATTTTATTGATTTTTTACAGAGAGGAAGGGAGAGAGATAGAGAGTTAGAAACATCGATGAGAGAGAAACATCGATCAGCTGCCTCCTGCACATCTCCCACTGGGGATGTGCCCGCAACCAAGATACATGCCCTTGACCGGAATCGAACCTGGGACCCCTCAGTCCGCAGGCCAACGCTCTATCCACTGAGCCAAACCGGTCTCGGCAATTTTAAAACTTTTAAGAGTGAGTTAATCCTCAACTATTTTGAAAAATTGCAATAAACTATATAAAATGGGTTTACAAATAAAAGAGATGCAAAGCATTTTGTTTCTAATCCAGTTTTTCAATTTTTATATTTGTTTAAAAGATAAGCAAAATTCCAAAGATCAAGTAGTTTTTGTTTTTAAAACTTTCAGAAAAAATAAGATTTCTAAGAAGTAATTATTCAAGTCTTAGATAAAAATACTGAGCACAGTACTATTTAGCTCAAATATGTTTGACTTTTGAGGAACATGTTTATTTCCACACATTGTCATAAGTAGTGTAATATAAGTTTTAAAGAAGTACACATCTGCTTTAAAAAAGCATTTATTTTGCATATGGTGAATGCTCAATTTGGTAGTACTAGATCTGCTGTATCTGTGAAATGGGTATTCCTAAAATGGACAACAATAACTTTGTTATGAGAGGAATTGTAGATAGCTTTTTAGGTGAGGATACACTACATTTTCCAATTTGAATGCGTGGTGCTTAAAGGGGAAAGCACAGTTCATTTTATCAAGATGATATTTTCAGTATTCTAGACAAGCTTTCAAAGCTCGTTTGACAAAGGAAGTAAATTAACTTTTAAGTTGCATATAGCAACGAGAATGATCAGTAAAAAAATATTATTTCCACACTTCACATAAAATTATTGGATTAGACAAGTGACTACATTCAGAAATTTGAATTACATGAAAGCATTGGTTTCAATAAATCTTATTTAAAATAATCCCAGTTCAAAATATTAAGTAAAATAAAAATATTCACCTGACTGGAAGAAAAAATGCTCACTCAATAAATATGTATTATATCTACTGTTTTTCTCATTTATCTTACCTATGGATGAAAAAATATAATCTAACGAGGGTAAAGAGTCACTTAACTAGAACCCTCTACAGTAGACTTTCTTTGGCTCAGACGCAGATGGTTTTCCCATACAAAGTTTTTGAAGTAAACAAGAATTGTTATTGCCACCTCTCCCTAAAGCCATGTCAGGAGGAGCCCACGTTTCTAGCAACGACTACATAAGCATCCTGAGGGGAAATAAACCCAGGACAACCAGAGCATGCATGAAGAGCCAGAGATATGGTCTTCACTTCTTGTCACTATAAAGGACATTAGAGTGTATTATATTTTTAATTTATTTTATTTATTACAAGTATTCCCCTTTTCCTCCATTGACCCCCTACACCCAGCTCCTGCCTCCTTCCCAGTACTTCACTGCACTATTGTCTGTGTCCATGGGTTATGCATATATGCCTGTACATTCTTTGGTTAATCTCTTTCCACCCTTCCCCTCTGAAATAGTATTATTAATTATAAATATAGAAAATTATTTTTAAAAACCATGGGTTTCTGTTATCAAGAGTTAAATACTTGGCCAATGAAAAGAGGCCATGAGGATGTGATGGTCTGTCTTCACACAGCAACATCATGAAAAATCCTGTCTCGGAGCATCGCCTCTCTAAAAGTAAAAATAAGCTTGTTCTCTTCTTCCCTTTTTTTTTCTAATTGGAATCATAAAGTTACCAGACAGAAACCATAAATACTTTGTTGCCTTTTAAGAAAAAAAATACTATCATATATGCATATAAACACAATTCACTCTGTTGAATAGTATTAAAATATTTGCATGCTGATTTATAAATTCTAACCTAAACATTAAAAAAATACATAATGACAGGGTTTGGTACCAGAAAGTTATTAAATGGTTTTTGCATATGGGATTCATAGAAAAGACTGGTAATACCTTTTTATTTGAATTCATATAGCTAAACATTTTTATTTTGATGTCTAATAGACATTTTACATTCAACATTTACAAAACCAAACTTTTCTTCCTTCACCCTCAACCTGCCTCCTCTTCAGCTTTCTCATCTCACTGTCAACTCTAACCTTCAAGTGTCTAGGCTGGGGTGGGCAACCTTTTTGT